GAGTACGCCCACAATTTGAATTGATATTCAAACCTTTGACGGCACATCAGTAGCCAATAAAGATATCCGATCATAAACGGACCAATAACAGCCCTGATATCTGAACCGGGAAAAGCGGTTCCGTGTGGGATTGCAGGTATTCCGCATAATTTTAATTATTCCCGTGCAAATGTGGCGAGCGCTTTATTGTAACATGAGAACACAGTTATGTAAAACTGGAAGCGATCTCTCAAATAGGTCTAACTTATACAAAATGAACAAATGAACTGCCTGTCCTCTCACTCCGACATTGCTTGTGCGCAGACTGTGTGCAATCGCAATCTCTCCATGCTTTTAAAGTAGAAATTATTTATCTTTGCTCCTGGATTAAACTGTCAAAAGTTATCAACCATTCAGAATAGATCCACGCCTGACCGATGAAAATGCTACAATAAATTGTATTGGCTGTAAGTGAAATGCACCGGAAAGTCTTTTACTAATCAAAGATGGAACTTTAATTTCTTTACAATGTAAGTTTATGCTAGAAATGTTTTGGAATGGGATATTTGTATGATTTGTACATATAAATATCCTAGTCTGCCTAACTGCATCTCTACATTGTACAGACATTACAGGTCAAAGCCATCTGATGATCTATTTATCTAAATAAATAGGCCTAACATATATGGCTCTTAAATCACTTCTTATGAAAATTCAGTGTTGTCATATTTCGAATACCTCAACTGAATTGAGGTCATTTGTTTTATAATTTTATTCCTGAATGTGTACTTGTCTTTTTTTGCAAATTCAATTCAGTTTGAAATCAAGCTTCCTTGTGCTGTAAGCTTTTGCAACAAAGTTACCCTATTTTAAAGACACAAATACACATAATGAGCAGATGTTTAAGATTGAGATTTTTGTAATGGTAATTGATAAATATTTGTATGTAAATAAAAGCCTATATTAAAATCTGTTCATCATATAAAGTGCATGTCTTTTTAGAAGACTTGGATTAAACCAATTTCAAAGCTTGAAATAATAAGCTTGAAATAATGATTGCCTTGAAAAAATGGATGGACAAAAAAAAATTAAAATATGTGGTTTTGCCAATGGTATTGAAAATGGGTTAGGGTTATAATTTTTCAGTATTACATGACATCGTGAGTGTGTAATAGGTGTATATGCACAGTTTGTTGTTTTTTGGGGGGCATCTGGCAGAGCGTTAGGACCCAGAAGCAGTGAAGTGTGATGTCCGACTTAACAAGCAGATATTCTTAACCACTCCTATCCAACCGTGAATCTGCTATGAGCAAGAGGTGGAGTAGAGGTGCACCACAATAAAACTTAAAAATTTTATTCAAAATTCCATTTCACTTGGAAATACATCCCAACACTGAAGTCAGTTGCAACTTCCGGTTCACGGGTACTTTGATATTGATATTTTTCAAGGTATTGAAGTTAGAAATTCCTGTATCATGACCACTAATTGATATACTTTTTCAATAAGATAAAAGTGGGTTTTGTTCAAAGTAGCTATTATCCACATAGATCTTTGATATTAATATTTTTTGGTAATTCATTAAAGGAGTCAAATGATGCAATTTCAAATTTTCCTTTCTCTTTGGAGTGTTACAAGCTGTTCGTGCATAGATAAGATCCCTAAAGTTGCAAAGACTAAAGTCTCAAACCCAAAGAGATATTCTTTATAAAAGTTAAGACTCGTCCACGCCCTCCTAAAACGCCTCGTTTAAACATGTCCCCACATGTCTACGTCACAGTGTGGGAAGATTTGCATAACACCGCCCAAATGCTCACGCAAAGAAAGAAGGTGTAACTTTGATTCTCTCTATAGTATTGTTGCCGCCGCCATGTCGTGGAGACTCTGTGTGTTTCGTTGTGAAAGCAAAACTACTTAGTTTGGCCTTCCAAAAGAAGACACAACTAGAAATCAGTGGTTAAGTTGTATTTACAACACTGTTCCAGAACAGTTCAACCCAAATATTCAGATGTGTGCAGCGCATTTTACGGAGGACTGTTTCCTGGGAGAGTAGCCTACAATGCGTCTGTGCACAAAAACTGTTTCTATAAAGTGGGGCAATTCCAACTTTGTAAAGACAGTCTGGTGCTTCTGACTCACAGCCTGTATGTTTTCATATTTAAAGAATTTGCCACTGATGATTCAAACGTGAGTTTTGAGCAGTGTAGAGTAGCGCTTGTTGTTTGTCATTTCTCTGATCACAAATGCAGACATGGTTTTATGTTTACGCAGCGCAATACGCAACGCAACGCGTAAAAAGACAGTATAAGTCATTATAATCAGTAATTATGTCCCCACTGGATGCAACAAATGCCTCGTTTGTAATGGGTTTTATTGTTTTTGTGTCATCGCGCCCCTGCACACGGCATCACAGTATGGTAAGGGGCGTAACATTTCTGTCACATGCTTGAGGTATTCGGCCAATCACAACGCACTGGATAGCTGGCCAATCAGCATACACCTCACTTTTCAGAACGATGAGCTTTGTAAAAATCTACGCGTTTCAGAAAGGCAGGGCATAGAGGAGCAACAATAATGTACATTATGTGGAAAATAATGTTTTTTTTAACCTTAAACCGCATAAACAAATTGCATTACACCAAATGCACAACACACACAACAGTACTTTTACTTGTAATTGAGTATTATTTCAGCAATGTAACAGTACTTGTACTTAAGTACACATTTTCAGTACTCTTTCTCTCACTGTGTCTGAGTGATTGTTTGTTTGTTAGACTAGTTTGTGTTAGTGTTTAGTTAATAAAACTCTTGTGCACAAATTAAATTTTCTCAGTTTCAGTTAATCAGTTTCTGATTCTGCCTTGCAAATTAATTGTCCCTTTACGATTTTGATCCTTATTACATGCTCTAATGCATTAATACTGTAAGAAAGTATTTTCTGTGGCCATATATTGATTTGATATGAACTTACACTGAATGTTCGCTGGATGAACAGATTGGTTGATGGCAATTTAATTCTGCTACAACTCAGGTGGTTAACTGACTCATTTTCCATAGCTTCATTCTCTGGTTTTTCCTGATGGTTTCATCCATCATGCCTCATTTGCCCTTTCCCATATATGAGTGATTGTTTGTTTGTTAGACTAGTTTGTGTTAGTGTTTAGTTAATAAAACTCTTGTGCACAAATTAAATTTTCTCAGTTTCAGTTAATCAGTTTCTGATTCTGCCTTGCAAATTAATTGTCCCTTTACGATTTTGATCCTTATTACATGCTCTAATGCATTAATACTGTAAGAAAGTATTTTCTGTGGCCATATATTGATTTGATATGAACTTACACTGAATGTTCGCTGGATGAACAGATTGGTTGATGGCAATTTAATTCTGCTACAGTTACTACTGGCAGCTGATATAAATAATTGTAATTAATCATAATTAATTGTAATTATTTATATACATTTCCCTTTTGAGCTAATTTGCTACAGTATTTTTGATCAAATAAATGCAGGCTTCATGAGCATAAGAGACTTCTTTCAAAAACATTAAAAATAGTAATGTGTCCAAACTTTTGACCAGTACAGTATGTCAGGGCGCAAATATGACTGATTATTGTCAGTGCTTGATTATTCTCACACTATAAATCTAACACACCCATTATCAATTTTATTTTTTGTAGCTGTGTTGCTTACGTCATACAAATGTCTGCCTGGCATGTTTTTACCATAGACCGTATAAAACATGGACATAGTGTCCGTGACGTTACCCGTAGGTTTTGGAAGAGCATTTTTGAATGCCTAAAGTGGGCAGCGCCGGTGTTCTAACAAATAATGCTACTTATCAGATTATGCTACCAACACCATGCGTAACTCTTGGATAATCGAAAATGGGCAAAGAGGTGGGACGTGGGTGGAGCTGAGGTGCCTGGTTGCTGAAACCACGCCCGCCTAGCTCGACAGTAGTGACAGGAGCGGCAATCCACCTGTCACTCAAGTGGCCACACCCTTAATTATGCAGAACTTTAAGGCTTAATATAATTTAAACTAATGAGTTATAAAAAAAAAATTCACCCCCCTTGAAGGGCAAAATTAGCTATATACTGTAGACCAAAACCACTTTTTGTACCATCACTTTAATGGCATAGAAAAGGACCTATACATTGCCATTAAAGTAAAATTACTTGAACCTAAACATAGGAGCCTGATAAAAATCAAATTTTCCTTTAATTAACACTTCAAAGTTAAAATAGAGAGCTACAGATTCTAATGTTAATGTTTTATAAGCATTAATATTTATTTTTAATATTATGATTGATTTGTCTTCAAAGTGACTATAAAAGACCATTTAGTTTTTCATTGGCTGTAAAGAGAGTCAGAGACAGTGAAGAGGTTTATGATGATAAAAAGAAAATCCACCAAATGCACACACACACACACACAGGTTTGTTTTTGTGATTTGTGGGGACATTCCATAGGCGTAATGGTTTTTATACTGTACAAACTGTATTTTCCATTGCCCTACACCTAAACCTACCCCTTACAGGAAACGTTCTACATTTTTAGATTTTCAAAAAAACTCATTCTGAATGACTTAAGCCTTTTGAAATATGGGGTCACTCAAAATATACCTGTGTCATATCCATGTCATTATACAAATTTGTGTCCTCATAAAAACGAAATCACAAAAACGCGCGCGCACACACACACACATACTTTGATGCTACAGTGCACACAATCATATATTTATCAAATCAACCAGCAAATGCACATAAACGCCCATATATATATTGCTTTAGTCCAGGTGTCCACTGTAATGGACAGGAAAAAGTTAGTCAATCATAACAGTGAGTGTTTGCTTCGATTTCTGCAAGAGGGTAACGCCTCTTAAAAATGTTTCACAGTGTGAAAATAATTTTTACAAATATTGGACCTTTTTTGGGGAAAAAGCTTCATAAACTAAACTTGAGAAACATAATATAAAAATCTGAAACTGCATTTCATGACCCCTTTAAAAAGGTGTACATATATTTTAAGATGTATAATCAAGTAATTCATTACACTGCATTTTCTGTGTACATGTCAAACATGAGAAATACAACTTAAATGTGATCTCTGAGAAGAAAACTGAACAGTCACACATATTTACAAAGATCTCTCCTCATGACATTGTATGTCTTTCTTCACAGGCTCATTTACCTGAACACCAATCAGAACAGGTGAGTTTAGTACAGTTAGGCAAACATGGACCAGATGTTATTAATGTGTTAATCTCTTGATTTGGGAAGTTTCCATTTCTGATATTTATTTATTTATATTTTTACTGTTTTAAGTTGCAATCAGCAGATAATAGAACAAGTCTTCATCGAGTAAGTAATGATGTAATGCGCATACATATACATCTAATTTTAACACACACAAACAAATACTCACACATCCTAATACTTACACTCTCCGGGAAAAAATGTGCAAGATTGTACCTTTAGGGTTACAACAGCTCGTCCCTGGGGCAGTACCCTCAAAGGGACACCTTTGTTCCTTCTTTACCTCTAAAGGGTGCATGTTAGTACCATTGTAATATGTACCCTTATGGTATGGAATGCCAAAGCTGACTTAATTAGAAATAAATAAAGAAATGTACAAAGAAATGTAAAAAAGCAAATATAAATAAATATACAAAGAAAAGTAAAAAATGAAAAATAAATAATTATTTAGAATTCTATTTCTTTATGTATTTTTTTCCCCCACATTTATGTTTTCTTTTATTTATTTCTACATTTATGTACTTCCACTTTTATTTATTTTCACATGTATGTATTTATTTACATATTTATTTCCACATTTCTTTATTTCTACATTTCTTTGTCCATAGGGTAATGAGGAGGGCGTGTTTTACCTCAGGAATAGCAATCGAGCCAGAGTAGGCCAGGTGTAAGCTTTGAGGCCACAGTGACACCTTGTGGTGGCCAAACGAAGTACAAGAAGTGTAGCTTACATGATGCGCCTGTTGATAGTGTGGGATGAATGATTTAGATGGCCAATATGGCCAAAATCTTCTGTATCCAAGCATGTAAACAGAAAGTTGAGTGGAAGGAAAAAGTGTGGAAGAAAAAGATGCACAACCAACCGAGAGAACCGCAGCCTTATGAGGATTGTCAAGCAAAATCGATTCAAGAATTTGAGTGAACTTCACAAGGAATGGACTGAGGCTGGGGTCAAGGCATCAAGAGCCACCACACACAGACGTGTCAAGGAATTTGGCTACAGTTGTCGTATTCCTTTTGTTAAGCCACTCCTGAACCACAGACAACGTCAGAGACGCCTGGGCTAAGGAGAAGAACTGGACTGTTACCCAGTGGTCCAAAGTCCGCTTTTCAGATGAGAGCAAGTTTTGTATTTCAAATTTTTTTGTAGTCCAGTGTTAAGTTTCCACAGTCTGTGATGGTTTGGGGTGCAATGTCATCTGCTGGTGTTGGTCCATTGTGTTTTTTGAAAACCAACGTCACTGCACCTGTTTACCAAGACATTTTGGAGCACTTCATGCTTCCTTCTGCTGACCAGCTTTTTGAAGATGCTGGTTTCATTTTCCAGCAGGATTTGGCACCTGCCCACACTACCAAAAACACCAAAAGTTGGTTAAATGACCATGGTGTTGGTGTGCTTGACTGGCCAGCAAACTCACCAGACCTGAACCCCATAGAGAATCTATGTGGTATTGTCAAGAGGAAAATGAGAAACAAGAGACCAAAAAATGCCGATAAACTGAAGGCCACTGTCAAAGAAACCTGGCCTTCCATACCACCTCAGCAGTGCCACAAACTGATCACCTCCATACCACACCGAATTGAGGCAGTAATTAAAGCAAAGGGAGCCCCTACTAAGTATTGAGTACATGTACAGTAAATGAACATACTTTCCAGAAGGCCAACAATTCACTAAAAAAGGTCTTTTTATTGGTCTTATGAAGTATTCTAATTTGTTGAATTAGTGGGTTTTTGTTAAATGTGAGCCAAAATCATCGCAATTAAAAAAAAAAAACACAGACTTAAACTACTTCAGTCTGTGTGCATTGAATTTATTTAATACACGAGTTTCACAATTTGAGTTGAATTACTGAAATACATGAACTTTTCCACGACATTGTCATTTATTGAGATGCACCTGTATCACAGAACTAAAAAAACAGAACTTAGACCCCCACAGTGTTAGCCAACTTTAGACCTATCTCAAATTTGTCATTTATCGCTAAGATTTTAGAGCAAATTGTCCTACAGCATTTGCAGGGTTTTCTAGATGACAACATGATTTTTGAAATATTTCAATCCGATTTTAAAAAACATCACTCTACTGAGAGGCCATTGATGAAAGTTTTAAATGATATTTTAGTAACCTGTGATTCTGGCAACTATGCTGTGCTTGTGCTCATAGATTTGACCGCTGCATTTGATACGGTCGATCACAAAGTCCTTATTGCTCAGTTGGAGCAATGCACAGGCATTAAGGGTAGTGCCTTAAATTGGTTTAAATCTTATTTTTCAAATCAAAGTTGTTCAGTTAATATTTGAGATCATTTTTCTAGTGCTGCTTCTTTATCATGTGGGGTTCCTCAGGGATCCATTTTGGCTCCCATTCTTTTTTCAATATACATGCTCCCACTTGGTTCTGTCTTCAGGAAGTATGGGCTGTCATTACATTGTTATGCTGATGACACCCAAGTTTATCTGCCCTTAAAACGTAATTCAGACGGTTTGGATACTCTCAGGGCTTGCTTGTCAGATGTAAAGTCCTGGCTGTCTCTAAACTTTCAGAATTTTAAAGAGTAAAACAGACATTATAGTCTTTGATCCTTCAGATTCATTTCATAATCCCAAAGCTAATCTTGGTGGGCTGTCTTCTTATGTGAAGACATCAGTGAAAAACCTCGGTGTTGTCTTTGATGACTCTCTGAAATTTGATAAGCAGATAAACTTGGTGGTGAAATCATGTTTTTTTCAGTTGCGAATGCTAGCAAAAGTAAAGTCTTTTCTCTCCTTCAAAAATTTTGAAAAAGTAATCCATGCCTTTATATCCTCCAGGCTGGATTACTGTAATTCTCTATATGTTGGGATTAGCCAATCAGCTTTGTCCCGGTTACGGTTCACGAGTTCGCACTTTCTTATAATTAAAGGGTTATGCGTATTTGGTGTGCTGTCCAGGGAGAGGGCTCCGAGCTTGGTGTTCAGCCCGGCCCAAAAAGCGCTCCCCCAAAAAGCAATTTAAAACAGGACAGCAGCCAGATACGTGCATTTATAACCCCCCAAAACAAGGCTTAATATTAGAGGGGTGCTGGACGTCCTTTGGTGTACATTTATTGCAGCAGTATCTAGGAAGGTTTAGGTTTTGTGGAAGCGTTCCATGCTGAAAGAGAGAGGTAGATAAGATAAGAGAAAAAAGCTCCTGCGGGAGTGGCTACTGCTGCGGCAGTAGGGAAATACAGAGAAGGCTCCTGCGGGAGCAGACACTGCTGCGGCAGTGGGGAAAAGTAGATAAGGCTCCTGCGGGAGCAGACACTGCTGTGGCAGTGCGGAAATATAGATAGGGCTCCTGTGGGAGCAGGCACTGCTGCGGCAGTAGGGAAATACAGAGAAGGCTCCTGTGGGAGCAGGCACTGCTGCAGCAGTAGGGAAATACAGATAAGGCTCCTGCGGGAGCGGACACTGCTGCGGCAGTGGGGAAAATAGGGAGAAGGCTTCTGCTGGAGCAGACACTGCTGCGGCAGTGGAGAAAACCAAAAAGGCTCCTGCGGGAGCGGACACTGCTGAATTAAAGGGTTATGCGTATTTGGTGTGCTGTCCAGGGAGAGGGCTCCGAGGTTGGTGTTCAGCCCGGCCCAAAAAGCGCTCCCCCAAAAAGCAATTTAAAACAGGACAGCAGCCAGATACGTGCATTTATAACTCTCCAAAACAAGGCTTAATATTAGAGGGGTGCTGGACGTCCTTTGGTGTACATTTATTGCAGCAGTATCTAGGAAGGTTTAGGTTTTGTGGAAGCGTTCCATGCTGAAAGAGAGAGGTAGATAAGATAAGAGAAAAAAGCTCCTGCGGGAGTGGCTACTGCTGCGGCAGTAGGGAAATACAGAGAAGGCTCCTGCGGGAGCAGACACTGCTGCGGCAGTGGGGAAAAGTAGATAAGGCTCCTGCGGGAGCAGACACTGCTGTGGCAGTGCGGAAATATAGATAGGGCTCCTGTGGGAGCAGGCACTGCTGCGGCAGTGGGGAAATACAGAGAAAGGCTCCTGCGGGAGCGGACACTGCAGTGGGGAAAAACCCCAAAGCAGTGGGGAAAAACAGGTAAAGCCCCTGCGGGAGCGGGGTGCTGTTGGGATGGGCCCTTGTGGATGGATTATGTGACATTAAGGGGGGGTTGGCTGTGGTGGGTCAAGTGTTTGAGTGAACAGGATGGGCTGGCTCCTGCGGGAGCAGACACTGCTGCGGCAGTGGGGAAATACAGAGAAAGGCTCCTGCGGGAGCGGACACTGCAGTGGGGAAAAACCCCAAAGCAGTGGGGAAAAACAGGTAAAGCCCCTGCGGGAGCGGGGTGCTGTTGGGATGGGCCCTTGTGGATGGATTATGTGACATTAAGGGGGGGTTGGCTGTGGTGGGTCAAGTGTTTGAGTGAACAGGATGGGCTGGCTCCTGCGGGAGCAGACACTGCTGCGGAAGTGGGGGAAAACAGATAGGCTCCTGCGGGAGCAGACACTGCTGCGGCAGTGGGGAAATACAGAAAAGGCTCCTGCGAGAGCAGACACTGCTGCGGCAGTGGGGAAATACAGCTAGGCTCCTGCGGGAGCAGGGTGCTGTTGGGATGAGTCATTATAGATGGATTGGATGATGTTAAAAAAGGGGGTTAGCCGTGGTGGGTCGGGAGTTTGAGTGAACAGGGATGGACTGGCATTAAAGGGGGTGATTCTGAGGCGGGAGTGGTCGGAGGGATGGGTAGGGGCATGGTGGAAGGAAGAGCAGGCATGCGAGATGTAGGAAAGACAGCTGCCGGGACCGCTTGCGGAGGCATGCCCACGCTTGGGGTGGCTCCGGGAGCGGAATTGTATTTGGAAGAAAATTATCATACACGAGTCAAACGTACCGAATACAGCTATTTATCTTTGACACGACCTGCAAATTACCATGATAGATAACTAGGCGTGCCGTGTCTACACTGGACGCGAGCAGTGCGACGAAATATTATAGAAACAATTATAATTGGTGACTGTCTGCACTGGATGCGACACGACAGTAAACTGATGCCTCGTTCTATTTATGATGTATAAAAATGAATTTTATTTTTTTATTAAACACTCACTTTGTCACAGCCAATGCAGAACGACTTCAGC